AGAGGAACTAGCTGGAGGCAGTGTGGGGCATGATCCTGAAGCATGGGGCCTTGATCCTTGTGCATTCTGTACTGGGGACCAGCTCCATGCCACTCATTCCTCCTGCAGCACCAAAAGGTTGAGCACCGCTGGTCTACGTGGTACCTGATGATCAAAACGCTGGTAGCTGCTTGGGGCTATAGTGCCAATCCTGCATTTAGACATACCATTCCCCGGTATGGGGAAAAAAAAACCCGTCTGGCAATCGAATACAAGGAAATCTCACTAAATACATTGTGTGTTATCAAACTGCTACCAAAAGCAGTACATGCTCAGCAATGGAAACAAAATATGAAGCTGATTAAATACAGCAAACACTGAGCTTGTCTATAAAATGCATGGCCCACACTGAGCAAACATGCTGATGGGAACCTACTATGAAAATATGTTAGTAGAGCCCATGCAAATAAGACAAATGGTAGTGCCCATTAAGCGCAGTCCCCCTCACCACTGACTCTTTTTCAAGTCATGGTGAGCCAAGATATTGCATACAGTTCACCCAGAATCCCTCGGTCACCCCCTTTCTCAGCTTGGTGTATATGATTAATGGGCCCTGCCCTCTGTGAGGTGAAACTGGACCAGGATGCTCTGCATTTCATTTACATATACATTTTTGGAACATCCCAGGACTTGTGACAAGAACACCTGGTTCCAATCATGAGTGGGGGCTAATGAGCACATGGATCTTTTGTAGGGGTGGTATCTGGAGCATACACATATACTAAGTGGGTGCATCTATACAAGATGGTTCACTTGAGATTAGAATGAATTACAGCAAAGTAAACGTCACCATATCCATGTGCAGACATTTACTGGCAGTAATTTGCTCTAATCATGAGTACATTTGACACCTGGAAATACAAGTAGCAAATTTACCCATGAGTAATTACTGTGCAGTACAGCATGGTTAGACAGCCAAATGGGAGCAAAGTTGCTTCTGGGCAGTAGAGGGTGGGAGATTGGTCCCTGACCCTGAGAGCTGCCTGCTGCCAGGGCAGACTCTGCCACTGGAGCCTGGGTGGGGACAATGCCCCCCTGCCCTGGCACCAGGGAGCTGCTAACCCCTGCTCCTTGATCACAGACCAGGGGCTGGATGCTCTCTGCATGGGGAGAGTTCCCTGCCCAGGCTGGAGCTTGCTGGGACCTACACCTGACCTGGACAGTTCCTGGCCAGCCCTGGACTGCATGGGGAAGTCTGTATGTGCAGCCTGGAGGTAGCTGGGGATTGGCCTGTTTTGGGCAGTCCCCACCAGCTCTGGGCTGCATGTGCCAACTTCTTTGCACAGCCTAGGGCTGGCGGGCACTGTCCTGGTCAGGGGCAGGTCCCAGCCTCATGCCCTGATTGGTGATCAAGGTGTGGGGCCTAGAAAGAGCTGCAGGGGAGGTGCAGGTCCCAGACTCCTGCTCTGATCTGCCAGTGGGGCAGCCAGTTCACTGCTAGCTAGCTGCCCCACCAGGAGGTTGGGGGCAGAGGGCTGGGACCTGTCCCTCCCCTGCAGCTCTTTCCAAGTCCTTTACTCCTGATCAGGGAGCCAGGGCCGGGAGCTGCCTGCTGCTGGGGTAGGGGGACATTGTCCCCACCTGAGCTCCACCATTAGGGCCTGCCCTGGCAGCAGTCGGCTCCTGAGGGTAGGGAGAAATTTCCCAGCCCCTGCCAGGAGACACCTGTCTCCTGGCCCCATGCTTCCAGCCAGTCCCTGGCCTATCACCCAGAGGGAGCCTAGAGCTCTCCCTGGCTGCTGAAGAGGGGTGGTGCAGGGCCCAAGGGGGTGGGAGCAGATTGCTGGTAGGAGCAGCAAATTGCTCCTGCATCACCACATGTGTAGATGCCCACTGAGGGTAGCGTTAACCCACTCTGCAGCCTTTGCACATGTAGACATGCCCAGCAATGCTGAGGTGAGGCGTCACTGTGGCTTGAAGTCCTGCCGACTCTGGTGGGGCCCAGGCTAATAAACTATGTGGTAAATCATATGGATTAATATCATGCATAGTTTGTACAAACTTATAAGCAGGTGCCAAAGTGCTGCTTAAAAGTGTGTTTATGAAATACCTATGCTAAAACTTGCAGCAGTTTTATAAAAAAGTAACATGAATCAATTCTGGATGAACTAAGTGCATGATTAGTATATGAATATGCAAATCTACAGCTATGTTTAATTTCAAGAGTATTTTTTTTCAAGTTTGCTTGTCACTTCCACGTGCTCAGGAAGAGCAGGTTCTGACAGGCAGGAGAGGAGAAAAAGGCTGCCAGGAGAAAAATTTGGGAGGAAGCAGAGCTCAAAGGGGCTACCTGACCCTCCAGATTTACTTTCCCTGCTGTAGCAGTGGGAGGGGGGAAAAACTCAAGGCAAACCTTCTGACTAGGGACAGACATTCAAAAAGCCTGAGCCTGAATTTATTCATTTTTGCAGGTTAATCTAACCTGGCAAGGTTGAACCAGTTTGTAACCACACAGACATCCTCTCTAAACTGAGGAAATGCAGGCACATGCCTACAGTGGCTCACGCAAGAAGCCGGAGGAGCGCTAGAGCAGCCCTCCCTTCCCTTGTACAGTACTGAGTGGGGGAGGGGGAGCGGGCATGGCAAGGCCCTGGCAGGATGCTCTGATTAGGGAGGGGCTCCCCCCACTCTTTGATAACAGAGCATTTATCAGCTCTGTTATCAGCATTTAACACTCCAACAAAAAACAAAGCCTCTCTCATTAGTTCAAGCTCTTCTTAAACAGTTTTTTCCAAGGAAGGGAACATTCCAAGGAGGGACATTATCAGCTACCTGTTGATTAGCTCCAAAAAGCCCTAAGTGGACACTGTCCTATCTGACTTTGTCCTGTCTGCCTTACACAGATACCTCTCAGCATTACCTAGCATACCACATGCTGGATACGGTCCATGATGTAGGAGAGGGGAATCCCTGCTTGAGCAGGGAGTGAGGGCAAGAGGGGGCAGGAGGAAGCCAGGCAGATGCCCCTGTGCCTGCCATCTCTGCTGGAGCTCCAGCCAGGAAGCAGAAGGGAGGTGCCAGCCCAGCTTTCTGGAGCAGAGAACCCCACTCAGGGCTGCAAAGCTTCTGGGAAGCTGGGAGACTCTGGTTTAAGTTAAACCAGGAAGGTGTCTGGGACAGACATTGCATAAACTAGTTTTACCCAAATCAGTTAAGTCTGATATTACATTCAACCAGGTTTATTTCAAACCGGTTTCCACCATTTTCAAACTGGTTTATGTGTGCTGAATGTCTGTCCTGTTACAGGTTTAAACCAGTTTCTGATCACGTAAACCGGTTTATGTGTAATGTCTGTCCCTAGCCTCAAAAATTAGGTTCTATACCTGTAAAATTATAAGCAGACAAGGTTCCTGGATGGAATGATAAGTAAAGAAGCCAGAGGCTGGTATACATGCAAGAAAGGCAGTCAGTGAAGATGTAAATTGAGTTACCGGGGGGGGGGAGAAGTGGGGAGAAAGGGGATGAAAGTAACAGGTAAATAGTGGAGAGGTACCTGGGGAGTGAGATGTTAGGCAGGTTATAATGTGTCATAAATCCAACCCCAGAAAACTATAACAAATTAATAAATTTTTCATATATAGAATCTATGTATCTGCGAGGGGTCATCTTATACTCAAGGTCATGTTCTTTTCAAGTAAATACAGTATCATTGAACCAGCCTGGAACCCCTTTGACTTCAGTGTGCCTCTGTATTAGTCTTTCCGTATGGAGTCCATTGCAAAATCGGAGCCTAACGTTCCAGAGATTGCTGCCTCAGAGCAATGGGATGCTTAGCAAATAAATAAATAAATAATCTAGTGTAGAAAACATTGCTGTGGTGACTAGAGAAAAGTTCAGCTTTTCCTGCCTTTAATTGGAAACATTCTTTTGTTCTTTTTTATTTAAAAAAATAAAAACCTGGTTTAGCAGCACTTGATAATGAAAAAATCTGATGCATACTGTATACATTTCTCTAGCATAATCCTGTAGGGTGTGTCTAGCTGAGTGAGCACATGTGGTTTGTGGTGCTGCACCACAAACCACATGTGCCACACGTGCAGGCCGTGTCGCTAATTCGCAGGGTGCTGGGTTTGTTGATATGGGGAGGTCCCAGTGCCAAAAAAACCCGCACCAGAAAAAAGTAGGGCGGTGCACGTGGGAGCAGCATGCGTCGCCCAAAACCAGAGCCTGGCTGACTAGAGCCATACTCTGGTTGCCAGCCAGGCTCTGCCTTCCTGGATTGCTGTTGGAGCCCTGGGAGGTCTTCAGGACCCCAGATCAGGTTGCTGTGGCCAGCTCCGGTGCTGGCTGCACCCTTCCCTACTACACCTGAGGCAACTTGCCACGTGCCAGAGTGCACGACAGGTGCATTCCCCAGGGACATCTAGCAGTGGCACAAAAATGTGCTGTTGCTATTTGTCCCCAGGGAACGCACATTCCTGCTTGTGGGGATGTGCGCAGAGGTTCCAGACTTAAAAGAAAATTATTTTTTTTGACAGGGATCAATCATAAATAACTTCAACACAAACAGTGAATTTTTCAGAGAGTTTGAAAAGAAAATAGGTTTATACCTAATTGTGTTACAACATGATAATACAGTAGGTGCCACTTGCACACGGTATTAAGAGAGCTGCACTTGAAAATACGGATTTGTATAACATTTTAAAGGAACAGTTATACCATAAATCTGTTATTTTGCTGAAAACTGTTTTTTGCTGAATTTTGCTGACATTTTGACATGGTCTTATATCCTTTCTTTCCATAGGTGGCTATATTTGTCACATTAACATGTAGTTGAAATCAATTTTCATATGCTTCATAGTCAAATTACATTATAGGACATTTCTTGAAAAATGTTCATCTTTATCTTAAGAGGTTGATAATAGCTTACCAAATCTGCTACTTAAACAATTTATTTCATATACAGAAGGGGTGCTTTATGATAGAATTCATAACATGGACTTGTTTTTCTTTGCCTACAGGAGCTGATTCCTGAATTTTATTATCTCCCAGAGCTGTTTGTCAATAGCAACAATTACAATCTAGGAGTGATGGATGATGGAACAGTGGTATCTGATGTTGAACTTCCACCATGGGCCAAAACTCCAGAAGAATTTGTTCGTATAAACAGATTGGTAAGATAGCTATCATTATTTTCAGTCCGAGGCCAATTCTGTAAATATTTTTTTTCTCAAATAGTTTATGGCCATGTGTCTCTGTCCTGCATCCTTCTGTGTTTTTTTTAAAAGCCTTTGCATCTTAATTTTACACCTTTTCGTGTCACACTTCCTTTCCCTAATTCCCTTCAGCTAGTTCTTTGCTTCACTTCTTTTGGGATGTCCTGATACTGACCATTATATTACATTTCATTTTCATTTTAAATGCTCTTATCCTTGAAATAGTTTACAGCATGGATGTTATAGTATCGTATACACTGAAATGAATGGGCCAGTTCATGTCTCTGACATCTTGTTCAGCCTGTTTGCAAGTTCAAAGTTTATCTTGATACTTGGGGTATGCTTTTCGTGGATATCATGGAAGGGTTTTTTTTGTTTTGTTTTTTTAATAAAGAAGCAAGCTGAGAATCAGGGCAGCAACTGTTGAAGTCTGTTCATGTTGCACTGAATTCATTCTTTGCATCTCTGAATTAAAGTACAAGAGATTACTGCATCCCTTAGAGGTCCCAGGAAGTTTTTAGGCAAATTGGGAGGTGTCAAAACATATTCTGTTGTTGAATAAAATAATTCAGACCAGTTTATTCAGCAAGAAGCAAAAATGAAATATGCATAATTTAAAATACAGTTTGACTGATCTTAAAGCTTTTCACTATATTTACTAGTGAGGTGATGATGCCACGGCTTGAGTTTGTATTTTGATTTATGAAAATCAAGAATGTTAGCATTCATTGTAGTTAGAGGATAAAATATCAGTTCAAAGTGTAAAGTGTTTACAATAATTTGGATGTTGTTTCATGGGAAAATAAGTATTAAATCGATCCAAATTAAGGGTAAAATATGCATGGACTTCAGGCCACAGGTCTCTTTAATGGAGGTTTAAATGCAGTTTTGGGTCCTACCGTGTTTGTGTCAGGTTTAATGGAAAAAAATGTTACTTCTGAGTTCAGCATGAATTGATGATCACCATCCCAAAAACCAAAAACTGAATGTTTTAAAAGTTGCTTGTGTTCTTGATCTCCCTACCAGTAAGTTTTTTGTTGTCACTCAAACTGTGCCCTGTTCTATCTGTTAATTACAGATCCTTATCTGTCTACCATGAACATATTCCAACTGTGTGTTTTCTAAAACCTTTCAGCTCCCAATTTTAATTCTGTTTTCCTTTCTGACCCTGATTACCCCCATTTCTTACCAGCACATCTCTGTACCTTCAGAGCTGCCTTTCTTCATCCTTCCCCCATTTCCCAAGCCTTTTGCTACCCCTAATCTCTACATTCTTGCAGCTCTTCTTGATATGTCTCACTTGTGCTATATTCTCAGGATGAAGTGCCTCATAAGCGGGAAGCAGATGCTTTTTGGTTATTACTGTTAAGCTCTTGGGCATGAAATGTAACATCCCTTTAAAGCAATCTCTTATATGATAGTAAACTATTTTTGTATTCCAAGGCAATGGTTTTTTGTTTTATCTATCTAGGATATACTAGATAGATTACTCCATGAAAAATCAGGTTAGAAAAAAACTGGAACAAGGACACCACTTACTTTTATAAGTGATTTCTTAATGAAATGCAACATTTATATTATACTTCTTTTTGGCTAGGTACAGACATTCAAAAATCCTGAGATAGAATCAATATAAATTATGCGGCATAGTTTAGGTTCGATAAATTTAGTTTCCGTAAGCGCTTAATTTCTATAAGCAGTTTAGTTTAGATTGGTAGTGAACAGAACTGTTGCATAAATTGCTGATTTTATCCCCTGGAGGCTA